CACTCGCCTCCCGGCAAGGGGACAGAGCTGTAACCCGGGGACCCTCCTGCCTCGGGGGCTCCCTGTGCTCCCCCCGGCCCGGCGAGCCCCCGCAGCCGCTCCCGGTAGGAGCCGGGGACGTGGCCGGGGTCAAAGAAACTCTAACGGGAGAACCGACGAGGGGGTGCGATGAGAACACCAAACAAAACAGGCTACGAAGGGCGGGCACGAACTGGAACGCGCGCCGCGGGGCGGCGGGGGGCCGCTACTCCTTGGCCCTGCCGATGATGGCCAGGATGTAGAGGAAGATGTTGATGATGTCTGTGTAGAGGTTGAGGGCGGCGAAGACGTACTCCTCGGGGCTGAGCGCCAGCTGCTTGTTCCCCAGGATCATCTGCGTGTCCACCGCCAGGAACTGCGAAAGAGGGGACGTCACAGCAGGGGGGACGCAGAGCCAGGCGGGGGGAGGCCAGCAGCCCCCCATGCCACCCAGCAGCCGCCCGACGAGCAGGTTCCTTTGTCCCCCGTCCCCCCAGCTGGGTCCCGCACCCCCCACGCACGGGCTGAGCCCCCGGGGATCTGGCTCAGCGCCCCCGGGGAGGGGGCAGCAGCGGGAGGCAGGGGAGGACAGGACCCCCGGCACTTACGCAGGTGAAGAGCAGGGCACCCAGGGAAGCGTAGATGATGTCCATGATGCGGTTCCGGATGAAGATACAGAGGATGGAGAAGACGATGAGGACGACGAGGCAGATGATGAGCACGCCCCGGCAGGAGGTGAAGTCATACTTGGTCTGTGGGACAGGGGAGAGTGAGCAGGGAGCCTGGGGGGTTGTACGCCCGGTTTGGAGCCCCCAGCCCCAGCAGGGAGCCCAGGGGGGTCGTATGCCCGGTTTGGAGCCCCTGGCCCCAGCAGAGAGCCTGGGGGGAGTTGCACACCCAGTTCAGAGCCCCCAGCCCCAGCAGGGAGCCTGGGGGGGTTGCACACCCAGTTCAGAGCGCCCAGTGACAGCAGGGGCCTGGTTCGGAGCCCCCAGCCCCAGCAGGGAGCCCGGGGGGGGTTGCACACCCAGTTCAGAGCCCCCAGCCCCAGCAGGGAGCCCGGGGGGGGTTGCACACCCAGTTCAGAGCCCCCAGCCCCAGCAGGGAGCCCGGGGGGGGTTGTACACCCGGTTCGGAGCCCCCAGCCCCAGCAGGGAGCCTGGAGGGGTTGTATACCCGGTTCGGAGCCCCCAGCCCCAGCAGGGAGCCTGGAGGGGTTGTACACCCAGTTTGAAGCCCCCAGCCCCAGCAAGGAGCCCAGGGGGGGTCGTACACCCAGTTTGGAGCCCCCCAGCAGGGAGCCAGGGGGGTGTCACCCAGCCCCCCGCCCACCCCCGGAGCTGACCTGCAGGGAGAAGATGACGACAGTGAAGCAGACGACGACGGTGATGCCCACGGCCATGATGACGGCATCGGTGTTGTAGAAGCTGGCGATCATCCCCACCATGTAGGACAGGCTGACGGTCAGGATGGACTGGGGAGCAAACAGGCACCGCGTCACACCGGCTCTGCCAACCCCCCTTTTGCCACCCACCACCGGGTCCAGCCGGGCCTGGTGACGCCGCACTTCTCTGCGGTGCCCAGCGCCCTTTGTGCCGGGCTCTTGGCTTTGCCGCGTCTGGAGCAGGCTCCACCCTTGCCGGGCGAGGCAATCGTCCCCCCTGCACCCTCCAAACCCGCCCAGCCATGCCCCCCGTCCTCCCTGTCCCCTGCAGGACCTCGGGCGTCCCCAGGGCCGTGGGGTGTGGGGCTGGGGCTGCCGAAGCCGCCACCAAAGCCACAGCCGAGCCTGCCACCGCCCTAGCGCGGTGCTTACCAGGGCCACCAGGTTCCAGGGGTGCTTGCGGCGGAAATCCCCACAGCAGCTGAGGACGATGAGGGAGATGAAGAAGACGGCGTAGGAGACATAGTACGTCCAGACGTTGCGCTGCACGAAGCCCTTCACGCCTTTCACGAAGGTGAAGACGGCCACGAAGGCGAAGGTGACAGTCAGCTGCAGGGTGAGCACCAGGAAGACCTGGGGGACGGGGACAGGTCACGGCAGGGCGCCCAAAAACCCCGGCCCCCCCTTGGGGAGCACCCCGGGGCTGAGTCCCACCTTGCGGATGAAGGCCTGCCGGATGCTCTTGTCATCCCAGTGCGCGGTGGGGAAGTCCTGGTTGTCATAGTAGGAGGGCGGCCCGTCCTCATGGTAGGTGCTGTGCAGGGGGGCTGCGGGGAGAGGAGGGGGTGGGTGAAGGGGGCCGGGGGGGTGCTGCCTGCGCCACCGTGCTGCGCCGGGTCCCTGCCCTAGGCCCTGCCTGCCCCTGCCCGCCAGGGCGGCCGCTCACCGACTCAGATGACCACGACGCCTGGTCTCCACGGCCCGCGGTGGGGCCCGGCTCTGGCTGGCAGCGGTGAGGGAAGAGGAGAGATGGGGCTGAGGGGGTCAGGGGGGCCCCAGGGAGCAGCGCTTTGTGCCCTCCAAAGCCGGGCTGCACGCCGGCGTGCCCACCGAGCCGACAGCTCCAGGTGGTCTCCCCTCCCGGGGAGGCAGAGGCGTCCCTGGGGCTGGGCTCGTCTTTGGGGGCTGGCGGGGCAGGACCCCTTCCCTGGGGGTCCCCGCAGCCCCGCTCGGGCACCCTGAGCTGCGCTACCAGCCAGACTCCCCCTCGCCCACCCGTGCCGGCCGTAACGGGGCCCTCCCTCCGGTGGACCCCCCCCAGGACTGCTGTCAGCACCCCAGCATCGCCCGCCGTGGGGGGCAACCCCCTCTTCGGCCACGGAGAGGGGACGGCGCCCCGGGATGGATGGAGCCCCCCACCCCGAGCCCCGTTACTTACAGTCCTGGTCCCCAGGGACCATGGGCTGCGGCTGGGCGTACGGCGGCTGGGCGTAGGGGCCCTGGGGGTACGG